GATTTTACGTTATTAAATAGTTTGAGGATGAAAATGAGGATATAAAAAAGTTAAAGGATGCAATTAATATTATCAAGAAGTTGAAGGACAAAATCGATGATATCAAGAAGTTAAAGGATGTAATATTATTAAGAAATTAAAGGATAAAATAGATGATTTTAAAAAGTTAAAGATGAAATTAACATTATTAAGAAGTTGAAGGATTAAATTGATGATCTAGAAAAGTTGATGGATGAATTTTACATTATTAAATAGTTTGAGGAAGAAATTGAGGATAATGAAAAGTTAAAGAACGAAATTCACATGATTCAGAAGTTGAAGAATGAAATTGAGGATATTGAAAAGTTGAAGGATAAATTAACGTTATAAGAACTTGAAGGATTAAATTGATGATCCAGAAAAGTTGAAAGGAATTTTACATTATTAAATTATTTTGAGGATGAAATTGTGGATATTTAAAAGTTAAAGAATTAAATTTACATTATTAAGAAATTGAAGGATTAAATTCATGATCCAGAAAAGTTGAAGTATCAAATTGACGATTTAGAAAAGTTGAAGGATGAATATTACATTATTAAATAGTATGAGAATTAAAATGGGATATATAAAATTTAAAGGATACATTATTGTATGACCAAATTAAGGGTATAGAAAGTTGAAGGAAGAATTTACATTATTATATAGTTTGAGGATGAAAATAAGGATATTAAATAGTTAAAGGAGGAAATTAACATTATTAAGAAGTTCAAGGATTAAATTGAAAATAAGAAAAGGTGAATTTTACGTTATCAAACAGTTTGAGGATTAATCGACGATCTAGAAAATTTAGAGGATGAATTTACATTATTAAACTGTTTGAGGATGAAAATGTGGATATTGAAAATTTAAAGGATGAAATTAGCATTAGGATGAAGAATTAAATTAATGATCTAGAAAGCTTGAGGATGAAAATTGTCATTATTAAGAAGTTGAAGGATTAAATTGATGATCTAAAAACATTTTATAAAGTATGACCAAATCGAATTTTTCCTAAAAGTTAAAGGATAAAATTGAATGGAAATTACAGTTGGATGACCAAACTAAATGTTTCTAATAGTTGAAGATTGAAACTGCATTGGAAGTATAGATAGAAGAATAAATTGAAAAAGTTGAAGGATGAAATTGGTTTGAAATAATAAATGGACGATCAAATTGAACGTTTCTAATAGTCAAAGGATGGAATTGATTTTCGAATTGCTCTTAAATTATAATTGGATGACTAAATTGAAGTTTTATATTAGTTTAAGGATGCAATTGAACTTATTTTTTAAATGGAAGAGCAAATTGAAGGATGACATTGCTTTGGAATCATATATGGATGACCGAATTGAAATTTTCTAATAGTTGCTCGAACTCGGTTTTACTTCTATACGTTCATGAGCAATTTCATCCTTCAACTATTAGAATAGTTGGATTGGGTCATGAAACTATTAAATAATATCACTGTAGTCCACCAACTATATAAACAGTTGAATTGCGTCATCAAACTATACAACAAGAGCAAATTTATCCTTCAGCTATTATAAAATTTTAATTCGGTCACCCATCTACAATTCAATAACAATTAAAACCTTCAGCTAATAGAAAACTCAGTTGGGTCATCCAACTATGAATTAAGAGCAATTACATCCTTCATCTAAAAGAATAGTTGAATTGGGTCATCAAACTATGAATTAATTGTAATTTCGTCATTCAGCTATTAGAAAAACTCATTTAGGTCATTAAACAATAGTTTAAGAGCAAATTCATCCACAAACTAAGATCAATACACAATTCTGTCACCAACTATACTTCGAGAGAAATTTCCTCCTCCAAGTATTAGAAAATTCAATTTGGTCATCCTAATACGAATGAAGAGCAATTACTTTCTTCAACTACAAGAAAAATTCAATTGGATCATCCGACTATGAATTAAGACAATTTCATCTTTTATGTATAATTTAAGTGTAGATTCGTCCTTCAACTATTAGAAAAATTCAATTGGATCATCAAACTATAATTTAAGAGCAATTCCATCCTTCAACTAGTTGAAAACTTCAGTTGGGTCATCCAACTATGAATTAAGTGCAATTTCATCCTTCCTCTATAGGAATAGTCGAATTGGGTCATCGAACTATGAATTAAGTGTAATTTCGTGCTTCCACTATATGAATAGTTGAATTGGGTCATCCCAGTTATGAATTGAGATAAATTTCGTCCTTCAACTATAAGAATAGTTGAATTGGGTGATCCTACTATCAATTCAGAGTAATTTCGTCCTTTACTATTAGAATAGCTGAATTACGTCATCCAACTATGAATGAAGAGGAATTTCGTCATTCCACTATCTGAATAGTTTAATTCAGTCATCCAACTATAAATTAAGTGAAATTTCGTCCTTTAACTATTGGAATAGCAGAATTGCGTCATCCAGCTATGAATTAAGAGTGATTTCGTCCTCAACTATTAGAATAGCTGAATTGCGTCATCCAACTATGAATTAAGAGCGATTGCGTCCTCAACTATTATAATAGCAGAATTGCGTCATCCAACTATGAATTAGGAGTGATTTCGTCCTCCACTATTATAATAGCTGAATTGCGTCATCCAACTATGAATTAGGAGTGATTGCGTCCTCAACTATTAGAATAGCAGAATTGCATCATCCAACTATGAATTAAGTGTAATTTCATCCTTCCACTATATGAATAGTTTAATTCGGTCATCCAACTATAAATTAAGTGAAATTTCGTCCAACTATACTTTAAGACCAATTTCCTCCACTCATTAGAAAAACTCAAATCTCAAATTGGTCATCCTTCAACTATAAGAAAAATTCAATTGGGTCATCAAATTACGAATTAAGACAATTTCATGCTCGAACTATTAGAATAGTTGGATTGGGTAATCCCACTATGAAAAAAAGAGCAATTTCATCCTTCATATATTAGAAAATTTCAATTGTTATCCGACTATAATTTAAGAGCAACTTCATCCTTCAGTTATTATATATATTCAATTGGGTCATCCAACATTTATCCTTCAATTATTCAAATAATTAAATAGGGTCATTCGACTTTGTTTTAAGGGCAATTCCATCCTCCAGCTATTAGAAAATTTTAATTTGGTTATACGAACAATATCCTCCTTCAACTATTAAAAGATTCAATTTGGTCATCCAACTATAATTTAAAAGCTATGTCCTCCTTCAACTTTGTAAAATCAATCCTTCAACTTTCTAGATCTTCAATTTAATCCTTCAACTTCTTATAATGTTAGTTTCATTGTTCAACTTTTCAATGTCCTCAATTTCATTCTTAAACTTTTAATAAAAGTGAATTTCATCCTTTAACTTTTCAATATCCTCAATCTATGTAATAATGTAAAATCCATCCTTCAAATTTTCTAGATCGTCAATTTAATCTTTCAATTTCTTAATAATGCTAATTTCATCCTTTCACTTTTCAATATCCTCAACTTATTTAAAGTCATCCTTCAACTTTTCTCGATCTGACGCTAATTTTCTCTTGTACAAAAAATAGAATTTCGATTTACACTCTGAAATCTTTGAGAGATTTATGAATACCTGCACTCTGCAATCTGCGAAGATAATAATTTTACACAGTGGAGCAGTAATGGTCACTTTTTGCTTTTTAAACTTCAAGAATAACCCATACATATTCTCCTTGAACCCTTCTTTTGTTTGTGTTAAAACTTCTTGCTTTCTCGATTCAACTCAACTGGGTAAAATGTCTCAATCTCTTCCTGTTATCAAGGTATTCTTTGCTTTTCTGCACATGCATGGAATTGTTGAAATTTTTCTGCCCAATGTCTCTTGCCAAGTGCAGTGATCCCTGCTGGAACTAGAAAACGCACTTGTAGGGGATTAATAGTCCAAATTTAGCTCTGGCTTGCCAATTCGGACCAGCCCATTGAGCTGATATCCAGTGTAAATTGTATGAATACTCTTTGAATTTCTGATCTCATACATACGAGGCTTGCGTGATTATCATAGTAGTTAGTTGTCAAAGTTAATATGCTGCTGTTTTATTTGTTTTGAACTTTTAAATTCTGCTTGCAAAGTTCAAACAGCCAATTAACCCCAACTCCAATTGTTAATTGCATAAATACTTTCTCTTTACCATGTTTTCAATTTATATATGTGTCTATGTCTCTGCGGAAGTGCTCATATTCATTTGAATGTGGTACACGTTGGATAATTTTATATTACATTTGATTTTCTTGTAAGTTAATTTCCATATGAAGTTATGCGCGATGAGAAGATGAATACTCTTTTGCTAAGCCTGAGCAGCCTTTTGAACTCAACTAGATCTTTACTTGTGTATATGTACTTTTACTTTACCAAGAAAATACTGTTCAATCGATATGTTTATTTGTGAGTTTAAACTATGTGAACTTCGGTTTCTATTTTTTGAATTTGCTGGTGATATGATATATTATTTTTTGGCTGAAGGTTCATATCTTTTGGAACTTCATGTCTATTAAACACTGATGTTTTGCTTGCTTAAGTCTAAGAATCTTATTGCACCAGATTGTTTAAGTACTCGTACGAGTATTTCCTTTGCAAAATTGCTAACACGTGGATATACACAAAAATATCTATTGATGTGAACGTGTTCTCATATAATTGCTTACTTTTCCTACTATGTGATAGTCGCAGATAGTTGTTGGTGGAACTTTGAATGCTTTTGGATCTTAAATATTTTCGTTGGAATGACTGATTTATATTGTGCACTTATCTTGTTTTGATTTGAGTTTTTATGGGGTTCATGTGATTTTTGAAGTGATACTTTCATATATTTGGGGTTCACGACATGCAATTATTTGTAGTAGTACTATTACGAAGTTATTTCGTTTTATTTTGTTGGTAACTTGGTTTTTGTGGCTCATTTACAGATGCCAGCCTAAGGGAGAAGTAGAATAAAATTTTGGCTTCAGACTACTTTACAACAACTCCAAAGATGAAAGCTCCTGTTGAAATGGTTGCTGCTGCTACTGGGAGTTACTCATCTTTTCAGGTGCCACTGCATGGGTCTGTGGCGCAACTCAATGTTCCAGTCCAAGTGGAAAGTTCTGTTGCAGAGTATCAACAAGAGGTAAATTATAATTATCCCCTTTATTCTGCATACTGCACAGCTTAGGATTTGATGTTATGTATAAACTGCAGGGCATGTGCAGTTTTGCTACTTTTTTAGATGTTACTCTGCTGTTTTTGAACCAAGAATGTATAACTCTTTGCATGAAAGCTGTTATTTTTAACTGTTTATTTACAATGCACATGATAATCTATGCCATTCATGTATGTCTTTAACATGCCCCTCAACTATACTGCCCAACCAGGTAAGTGAGAAAAGTTCTCAAGGATACAAGAGCTTCAGTTTGCTAGCTCCTTTGGGGATAGCTCTTATTTCTCAACTTTGCTCAAGTCATTATATCATACGTATTATAAGCTTTGTAAGGGCATTTGCCCTTTTACTCCCTCACGACTTTCTGTTGCGTTCTTCGGGATTCTAATCCAAGACCTCTGCTTTACGAGAAACTTAAATGAATTTTAGTACCTATTGGCTCCCAAAGTAGACTGTACGAATAATGCAATGGTTTGGACACGACGTTCAGGTCGTTACAGAAAAACGCACATTATTCTAAGGTTGAGTATTCTCATAAGCTAGTGCGTTCTCTAGTGTTGTCATTTCTACAATAATTGAACACTAGTCCACAATCCAATAATATCACACACAATAAGTAAACATATAATTCTTATTCAATTTCCATATAAACATTTCATACTTAACCTGCATCCATAAAATTGCATTATACATATCTTATATTTTCACGAAAAATTCATGCTTCACATAATAAGCAAGCTTAATAAATAACATGGCATTTTGAAGGACCAATATAAATAAGTAATAAGCATATAATTATAATATACCCGATTCAAGGAATCAAGACATGGAAAATGGTGTAGTGAGGTGGCGACTTCAAATTATTTAATTCTAATTTCAAGAATAATGACTCATTTTTTAGAGATCATTATCTTTGGACCTATTGATTCTTACATAAAATCCTTTTAACATATATAAATTTGGGCATTTAAATAGTCCAATCTACTTAACCCCATATTATTATTATTATTTTTTTTAAAAATCCAACTTATTATCCAATACATTTTTCAAAAAGAAAAAAAAAGTTCAAAAGTCCACTTACTGTTCACATAAACAGTATCGTACTAATCACATGTATGGTGTTACTGTTCAAGCGAACAGTAACCACGTTATTGTCCACGCTTTTTTTTTTTGAAAATAATTTATAATGTTTACAGAACCATTAAAACCTGGGCTTGATATTTTGTGACGATCTGAATTGTTGTGATTTGAATGTTACTAAAATCCTATCCTGAACATCATAAATGCATTCTAGAACTTGAAAACTTTATTAAAGAATTTAATAAATTTTAATGAAAGTCAAACCATAACTTAATCAAATAAATAAAAGAAAAAAAAACTGGAAGTTTAAATAATCGTCTTAATGTCTAAAATGATACTTATCAAATTTCTTTAGTAAATAGTGGGTCTCATTTCACTCACAACTTCGCCACTCTCTCATACCTCGATTGCAATGAAAGGGTGAGAACGATTTCTCAATAAACATATAAGTGGAATAGCTAATTAGTTCACATTTGAACATAAGGAACATCAAAGCATACTTAAGGAGGTACGAAAAAATTGTACTGAATATAGGTGGTATAAAAATTCGTGTAGAGCGCTACTAAACTCCGGTTCCAAACTTTAGAATATTAGATGCTTATTGTGTGTGCGTGTCTGTGTTTTTTCTTGAATAAATACAGGGACCACAGGGGAAATCAAGATTTTGTGAATATGTTTATTAAGATAACTCGGTTCTAGCTTCAAACTCTTAATGATTTGCGGAGCGACAAATACACCCCTATCAACCCTGAAAAGCTGAAGGTTGCTATCTCAGGTCTATCTCAAAGTAGAACATGGTTGTTATCACCATTAAAACTAAACCTCTTGCCTAAAGTTATATGTCTTTCGTCCATTCAAAAATACAAAACTAAACATTGAATAATTTTAATTTCTAGAACTTCCTCATTGCATTTTTAATCTGCATGCATTTGGTTCATTTCTCTAACTATTTATTCAAAGAAAGTTTAGGGCTCAGAGAGCGGTGATTAAGGACATTGGGAATTCAATTTTTGTCTTTGGTTTGTGTGCAATCTCCAAGTACTTCTTGGAAGGTTTTAGTTAATAGTTGCTTGAAAGGATTTAGTAATAGAACTAAGTGGTATTTTATTTATTGAGAAAAATATATTTAAAGAAATTGATAATGATATAATTATACGAAGTTTTTAAAATATGAAAACACATTGGGAACAATTATAGTTATATTATTTAAAAATATTTTTGCTATATAATTTTTGCCTGCCCAAAAAACATATCCTGGCTCCGCCGCAAATTGCATGTTTGCAATTTGCTTAATTCATTCAAATGACAAATACCTGATCACCCACAACCCCCTGCCCCAGCTAACAAATCCATCACCAGCCGCAGCCCCAGCCATCTGAGGATGGTGTGTCTGCACATGTGGGGCCTTACAAGAAGTTGATAGATGTAACATGGTGAGGCTGGTGTACTTTATCAAACACGTGAGTCAATAAATGAGCCTACTAGTTAAGCAAGGATGTTCAAAATCAGCAGAGCAATGGGCTTTGTGAATAGACTTCATATCCTTTCTCCGTAATTCCTCTGCACATGTGACAGAGAGCTGAGAGCTCCAGGACAGTTTGATTGTAAATATGGTTCATGCCACCATATGTCCACAGGAGAATAAGTTGAAAATACTGTCTGGGAGGTGTATAAGGTTGAAGCAGATGACAAACAGGAAAACAGCCACATTCCTGTTTACTTGTAGATTAATTAATTATTTGCAATTTACCATATCAATCATAATGCTAGTATGTTTTGTTTTGTGACGTCTGTGTGATTTCTTAAACCCATGCAGCTTGCAAGATTAAGTGGTAGTTCTTACTCGGGCCTTTTCTGCTGATTGATTCTTTGAAAGGACTTTGTAAAATTCTAATCAAAAGGTGTGTGGACTAAGCAAGAGATAGATCTAACTGTAGAGCAGCGAAAATAAATATGTAACTAGGTGCGAAGTCTTTTGAGACGTGTGTATATCGTGTTTTGTGTTACAAGTTACCTACTCTTATTGAAGCCCACATCTGTCCTTATTCTTGTGTTGTTGTCAATTGAATCGAGTCTGTACAGACTAGGCAGGTGTATTTTGCTTGGGGGAGTGGCTAAGCTAAACAATTTTCTTTTGGATTTTCCTCTTCACCGTCTCTATATATACTTTGTAATGTCCATTCCTTGAAGATCTTTTCTTTTAGAGAGATGCTACATGTACACTCTAGTGTACATCATTGTTCACACTCCTCTCATAACATGGGCGGGTCCCGTGATAAATAAAATAATCATAGGACCCACCATGTGAGAGAAGTGTAAAAGTAGTGTACACTTATCATTTCTCTTTCTTTTAATGTCACAATAACTAAACGTAAATGTTCTACAGGAAGAAGAATCACCTATTTCTCATGGATAAATTTATGACGACGATGCTGGTCCTGTTTCAATTAACATAACATTTTATGCTTAAGAGGATAGTCAACTTTTCTTTTTCCTTTTCTTTTTGCCTCAATTTTTAATGCCTGCTGTTGCATTTTTGCAGGAATCAGATCTCCCAGCTCAAATAGAGGTAGCCGCAGCTGACTCTGAGTTCAGGCAGAAGTCGAGGGCTTTGGAGTCGAAGGAGCTACAATACCATCCTCGAAGGTCACATCAGAATTATAGAGGTGGCCGGGGTGGGCGAGTCAGTGGAAGGGGTGGCTATCTGAATGGCCAGAGCCAATTCTATGGCCAGCCTAGCAATTATAATTCAGGGAACTATAACTACCGAGGAAGCGGTGGCAGGGGTGGTAATTCCAACTACCATGCTACCATTGGTTATGCTGGCCATGTTCAAGCAGAGTCATGATCTTGGATGCTTACAGATTTTCTGATTTCTGTTCTAGCATCTTTGCTATCATGGAATGAACTTGTATGCGGATGGTGGTTCACATGGATACATTGGCATCCTGTTTCTGTAGTTCAAAGATGAGGGAACTGGTTTTTTGGGATAAATGTAATCACTATATCTGTTTGAACTGCAATACTTTTGCATCTCAGTTTGGAGTTTGCGATTTTGCACCTGAGGGATGCCCACTTAATATCTGTCGTTTTACCCTTTTCATATGCTTATTTAGTTAACAGTGGCTAAATCTAATTCTTGAATTACATCGCTACAGTGCATGATGTCTCTGAGGTTTGATTAACTATGCGTGATGCAGCTCTTTTTTCTGTAGACTGAGATGTTCCATTACTGAAATAATTTAGTGACGGGTCAGGCTGGCCTAGCAGATTAAAATTCTTTTCGACTTTGGTTTGTGGATCGAGTATTTGGCTTTTTCTCAATGAATATGAGATCGAAGTTTCGCTGTCTTCACTTCATATTACTGTGCTATATGAATTTGATGAAAACTGAGATTTCTAACCAATGATGCTTGATTATAATTGTTGGTATGTAGTGCTCGACAAGGCTGGACAGGGCTATACGATTTTCCCTATCAGATGCAGCCTAGTTACCACTAAAATGACATGACTTTTTCATCGAATATAATTAATTCTGTGTCAATTCTATGTGAAAGGGCAGTCGAGATTACAGATAAAAAGATGTCTGTGTACCTAAAATTGTGTCCGAAAATGCAGGAAATACCGTTCTTTTGGACATGTGGTTCATGCTTCAAACTATAACATGAGATACCTAGTTCGGTTTGTTGACCAGTGACAAGCAGGTTCATTCATTTCTGTCATGGCTGTGCACGTGAGAATTAAAAGTTGTGAATTGCCCAAGCACTTTAGACTGATACTTTCTTGTGTGGGAATAATAATCTCTCATCTTTCACAACTTCAATAAATACTTAAAAGAGCATATGAGGTGTTTTTAAATTTCGTTTGTTGTTCGAAAAGAGAGTAAAGTAGCAAGCAAGGATATTGCAAGGTTCAAGTCGAGGACGACCTAATTGGGCTATGAAAAGGAATAAAAGAAGCATCTGATTACTTTGTGCATGTGCCACTTGGTGGGTTTGGGATAGCTTAGTTGGTAGAGTTCCTTATTGTAACCGAGTCGTTATTAGTAACAGTTGGAGTCAAATCAATCTACTTTACTGCTCAACTCCAATGGCTGAGATAGATAAAGGGACCCTTGGCAAGACTCTGCCAAGCCAACATAAAACTTTCGAAATCCACTTGAAAGAAAGAAAGGGGCCAATATTTCTGCTAATGAGTCCAATGGATCATCAACAAAGAAGAGTCAAGTTATTGCATTCCGCTTCCCATCTAAATGGAAAAGCCATTTTGAAGCTTCAAAACAAACTTCAAATCTTGTGAGTACATAATGATGCCATTAATGAATTTGCTGATAAATATACGAATGTCAAGTTCATTAAGATCGATGTTGATGAGTTACATGTACGCCCCTTGCCTTTTTCCTGCAGCTCAATTTCATCATTTCCCAATTTTGTTTTTCTACATACATAAAAGAGCGAGTTTTCAGGTTACTGTTCATAAGCCGAGCCGAGCTGAGCCGAGCCGAGCCGAGCCAAATGGCTTTATGGCTCAGCTAAGCCCTTTTTTTTATACATTTGATTCAGTATCCTACAGGCTTTATGGCTTTGCTCAGCGAGTTTTCAGGTTACTGTTCATAAGCCGAGCCGAGCCGAGCCAAATGGCTTTATGGCTCAGCTAAGCCCTTTTTTTTTTATACATTTGATTCAGTATCTTACAGGCTTTATGGCTTTGCTCAGCGAGTTTTCAGGTTACTGTTCATAAGCCGAGCCAAATGGCTTTATGGCTCAGCTAAGCCCTTTTTTTTTATACATTTGATTCAGTATCCTACAGGCTTTATGGCTTTGCTCAGCTTGGGCAAGCTAAGCCCTTTTTGGTTCTTTTTTTTTTTTTTTCCCCTTTTTTCGTTTGTTTTGTTTTTGTTAATGTTTACAAGCCAAATGGCTTGTCGGTTGGACTCGGCTAAGCCGTACTTTTTTTTTTTTTTTTTTTTTTGTTTTTTTTTTTTTTTTTTTTTTTTTTTTTTTTTTTTTTTTTTTTTTTTTTTTTTTTTTTTTTTTTTTTTTTTT